GTGTAGGATTGTGTGTGTGAGTGTGCAGTGGAGTGAGGGTATTGTGTGTGAGTGTGTAGGATTGTGTGTGTGAGTGTGCAGTGGAGTGAGGGTATTGTGTGTGAGTGTGTAGGATTGTGTGTGCAGTGGAGTGAGGGTATCGTGTGTGTGTTTAGGATTGTGTGCAGTGGAGTGAGGGTATCGTGTGTGTGTAGGATTGTGTGCACAGTGGAGTGAGAGTATTGTGTGTGTGCGTGCGCAGTGGAGTGAAAGTATTGTGTGTGTGCGTGCGCAGTGGAGTGAAAGTATTGTGTGTGTTTTGGATTGTGTGTGTGCGCACAGTGGAGTGAGAGTATTGTGTGTGTGTGCGCGCGCAGTGGAGTGAAGGTATTGTGTGTGTGTAGGATTGTGTGTGTGTGCAGTGGAGCGAGGGGATTGTGAATGGATCATGTGTGAGAACATGTATTGTAAGTACAGCCCCCTTACTTCTACAATCAATCCCTTTTAGAAAACGAGCAGCCAGCTGTGTCCTTCCTCTAAGCTAACAAGCAAAAACAATCAACAACTTTTCCCCTCATTTCTCCTGGCTTTGTAGCGCTGGAGGAGCCGCGGATGGGAACGTGCTTGTTTGTGTGCGAGGATGTGGCACTTTGAGACCCGGGGTTTTAATGAAATGCAAATGTCATTCATCTCGCCTGGCTCGCCTGCGGCGCTGGCCTCTCGCCAAGCTGCACACAGCTGAGGAGGAGGAAGAAGAGTCAGGAGGAATACAAAAGAAAGAAAAACAGCGTGTTTTTTTTTACGTGGCAGAGCCTGTCCAGTCAGAATAAGAATCATTCCCCCTCCTTTCACCGAGGCTAAATTTAGCCCGAGAAAGAGTGAGATTTAGAGTGAGGATAAGACAGAGCAGAGGGGAATGTCAGTTACTGCCTAGGAGCCCAGTCAGGTGTGAACTGTTAAAGAGAGAGTCTGTTTCGCGCTTGGAAGCTCGCGTTTCAACAGATCATGCTTAAAACCCTGATGTCTGAACAGCGGACTGATATTGTGAATGACATTTATACAATGGAGAGGACAGCATTTTCTCTTAATTCAGAGCCAGAAAGGTTTAGCAAATACCGGTCAAACCGGAAAAAAATATGTCCCCATTAAGACATCACTTCGAGAAGTAAAATGATGTATATTTTCAGGCTCTTTAGTTGTTGTTTTTCTGTTAACTAATGTAGGCTTGAATAATTCTATTTCTGTAACTAGCCCCCATCTATGTGAAATAGTTAAAAAAGTGCAATTGTCAACTAAAAGAAAAGGTGGAAGAAGATAATGAGCTAAAGATTGCATGCATAATTAACATGTAAGCCATTTCTTCAATAAATAAGTTTTTAAAAAAACACTAACATGTAACTGAGAGGCTCCCCATATATATATTGTATGCACACCAGGTGACTCAAATAATGCTCATGGGGGTCAGAAATCAAACCAGATACAAAATATTCTATTTTAGAGGGAAATAACATCAGATGGCAAGTACGCAGAGGTCTTGTTCAATAAAGTCAGCGTTTCCACATGAGAGTAAGATGCGACATCACAAAATGCACAGAGGTCACTGTAAAGGCGACAACCTGTGTTTTGCAATTCTGAGCCTCTCAAAAGTTAATGGGTGCAGTGCTGCTGGATTATTAGTTAAGCGCTTGTCTGTTTATGGTAATAACTGTACACGGTATTGT